CATCCAAGACAGAGGAGCTGCAAGGGTGTCACACTGAGGGTGTCCCAGGGATCTTATAAAAGCCCAGAGACATCTGCAGGGCTGTCACAGGTCCTCCCACTGCCTGATCAGCCAGTGAGGCCTGGCCTCTGTGCGACTGATCCTGTTTGAGCCATGGGGAAACTGAGGCACAAAAAGGGGACATTGCCTTGCCCACAGGGACAGCACAGGCAGCCCTGGAGTCCTGGCTCCCTGCCCAAGCGCAAAGCCATGAGGGAGTGGAGGAGCTGCCCTGATATAGAGACAAATGCAGGCAAAATAAGTGAGGGATTAAACACTAAAAGCAAACAGGCTGCAAATGCACTTTTGGCTTTTATTTGTCGAGTTTTGCTTCACGAGGGCAATTTATGAGGATATTTTGTTGTGGCTGAGCCTGTCACTGCATGGAGAGCAGCAGCTGGTTCATCCCTGCTCCAGCCATATCCTGTGGGGCTCAAACCACCTTAGGTACACTGAAGCAGGTGGTTTGGCTTGGAGCTGGGCAAGGGAGCCCCAGGGGCACCAAGCAGGCTGGAGATCTACTAATTACTCATTTATTAGCATCTAATTAGTATCTCTCTGCTTCCTCCTCTCTCCCAAGGGCTCTACTTCTGGCAGGAGTCACCTCATGCCCAGGCACATCCCAGGGGTTGATTTTCCACCTCTGATCCATCCTGGCATTGCAATGTCTCGCTGCCCCTGGGGCTTTGTAGCAGACTTCTCAGCATCACACATGATAATTAGCAAATATGTACAGATTTCTTCTCTGGAACATCAGAATGAAGGGGGATCCCGCCCCACGGGGCAGGCAGATGTCTGTGAGCTTTCACAGCTGGCTCCAGCACCAGGGATGTGCCAGGGTGCCCAATCTCAGCCATGCCAGATCCTGGATGCTGCAAGGGCTCCAGCCTTCTCCCAGCATCTGCACAGCTGGTGGATTTTGCAGTCAAAGATTACCTTCCCTCTGGCTGCCCTTATCCCAGACCAGTCCCCTGCTCTCCCACCCACACCTGCTCCCCTCCACCCCCAGATAGTTTAGTTTGGGTTGAATCCAGCTGGAATCTGGATGCTCCCGTTGTTTCCCTTGCCCTAAACAGAGGCTGCTGACTCTGGGATGAGGTCCCAGGATGGGAAAGGCTCAAACCACATGCAATGACAGGTCTTCACTGCCAAGAGCTGAAGCCCCAAGGTACCTCCCCAACACCAGGCATACAGGAAATTTGGGGTGCCAGTGCATACTGACCACATGGATGTTGTAATGTGATGGTATTTAATTACCTGTATTATTAGATGATTAACCAACTAAATTCCATCCTTGGGGCTGCCAGCCTGAAGTACATGCAGAGCTTGCTAGGCAGCATCCAGACATCCAATTGTGTCCATCTGGGACCAGCAGTCATCCTACTACTCATGGTCCCCAAGGAACCTGAAAAGGCCTTGCAGGAAGGACTCAGTGACCATCAGCAGAGGAAAACACACTAGCTGTCTGAAACATGGGCAAGACACCTCCAAAATTGTTTCCTGCTAGTCTGAAGTCCTGTCAAGGAAGCTGCCAAACCCAGGGAAGATGCACAATGTGGGTTCTCTTTGTCCCAGCTGCTCTTGCATGGCCAGCTAAGACATGATCTAAAAGGGGTCTGGGTTTTGATTTACATTCTCCTGGCACACAAATTCTTCCCACTGCATGGAGCCCACCTGCTTCAGGGCACCAGAGGGTTTAGCATCTCACAGGAAGCAGCCGACAAGGAGAAACTCAACAATAAGGGCAAATCCAATAGTAAAACTGGAATGAAATGACAGCCATTAACCTGGTATCAGGAAGGACAGTAAAACTGCAGCAAGAACCAGCAGGCCACAACTCGTAACTTTGCTTTCAGATTAAAACACACTGGTCACAGATTAACTTCCTTTGCTCAATATTTTATTGTCTCACCTGCACTGGAAGGCAGAGGAGAAGGGGTGGGCAGGATGGAGGGCTCAGGAGCTGCAGCTTCTCTGCAGCCCTCCCATGTCCTGGCAGATGCCAAGGACATGGACACTCAACTAAAGGTGATGAACATGCCTCCAGCAGTTGCCCTCAGCCATGAAGTGCTTGTGCCAAATGGTCTCTGTCCACCAGACTGGCATCCCAGGGCTCACCCATGGCCACAGAAGAAGTCAGTGTCAGAGCTGGGGGTGCTCTGGGTCTCCCAAACATGCAGGGCAGGCACAATGATGGACACAGTCACTGCTACAACCCAGGCAAGGACATTGGCTCATTTCAGTAAAGAAAAAACTCCAGGAGATTTGGGGAAGTCACATCCCTTGGCAGACTGACCCATTTCTTTCAGTGGCATCAGAAAATGGGACAGAAATGAAAATAAATTCCTGGCCACACCCTCTCAAGCATCGCTGGATCCCCCACTGGGTGTATCCCTTTCTCCTTGAGTACAGCTTGTGCCAGCCCTGTGCAGCAGCGTTCTGTCCCTTTCCTAATCCCTCACAGACCCATTAATTAATGCACCACAGAAGGTACAAACACCTCTATGGGACCTCAGTGGATTTTAGTTCATTAATTCTATGCTTGAGTTCCTCTCACTCTCCCCACCACCTGCCCTGTTCCTTCTCCCAGAGCAGCTCAGGCCAGCAATCGCAGAGGACATTTCTGCCCTCATGCTGGGAGATGGAGACTCAAGACAAGGATGACCCAGTCACAGAAATACTTCTCCAAGGATTTCCAACAGCTCTCCTGGAGAAATGAAATAGCATCAAGGAACACCTTTATGGGGAATCCCAATGGGCCTCAGCTCCCCTTTGATGCTCCCAGGTCAACAACAGCTGGGTACCTCGCAGGCCCTCCACTCCCTCATCCCTCACCAGCCAGACTTTTTTATTCACCTTGCAGTAAATCACTTTTTAATTACAACGGGACTGCAACTACCAAAATATAAAAGACTTCAGGTTTTACAGCACAACAACGGTTCCTATGGATTGCAATGCCTTTCCATTCCCAGCAGCTCCATTTGCACCACCCTGATGTCTCCCTGTGACATGGGAAAGGCTCTTGCTCCCTTCCAGCCTTTCACAGCCCCCATGCACAAGCTAACAGTATGAGGGCAATAGCAGGCTGGATGTGTTGTGAGGAAGTGGGGAGCTCAGCATAACCAAGGTCAAGCTCTCACACCTGTGTGAACCACCTCCTCTTCCTCCTGTAACTGTTGCTTTCACCCCATTTCAGATTTCAGGGGGCCATTTTAATTAAAAAAAACAAAACAATAAACTAATTCTCAGGCCATCTCTGAGTTTTTTAAGCAGATAAACTTGAGCAGGTGGTACCTGCAGCAGAGGGCACCCTGGCATGGGCACCAGCCCTCCTCAGCACGCACTGCTTCCCCAGCTTCCATCCTAAATCACAGCACAACAAACAGGCTGTTCATTAGGCGCTGTTTAATTAAGCAATATGGATCCTGCCTCGATATTTACAATCCCACTTGCCCTGATTTATTGGAGAGAGTCCCGTTTTTAAAGACGGTGACTGTAAAGTTTAATACCGCTTGACTTAACTGCGAGTTTCATTTACGGCGTTGGGCCGAGGCGCGGCAGCCCGGGCTGGGAGCCGCCGGGCCATTAAATCAGAGCTAACTGCGCGTGCAGGGAGATGACTAGCTTCGTTACAACCGCTTCAGCCGCTAATTACCCCGAGCCGGATTGCCACACTTAAAGTCAATTTGTTGCCTCTTTCCCAGGACCCTGGAGAATAAGCAGGGAATTTGGAGCGGAGGCACTTGTTTGCAATGGAAAGGGCTCGCGATCGGGATGGTGGCAGAGACCAAAGGGACTCTGCTTGTCCCAGGAGGGGAGAAATCAGTTTTGCAAGAGGTGGGATTCCCAGCTGGGAAGCCCCGATGCCCTGGTGAGAGATGCTGTGTACAATGACAGCTCCAGGCTCAAGGGTCAGCCACCATCTCCTCCCCACAGCCCTGGAGCACCTGGGGAGCACTGAAGTCAGGTGAGGGCACCTTGTGGGCTCTGGGATGAGGCAGTCAGGCAGAAAGATAGGACCAGCACGTAGGAGGGCATCCAGCATCACAGGCCAGGAAGTCCTTCCATCTGTTCCAGCCCATGGATGCAGATGGGGGAATGACACATGGATGGGGCACAGGGAACACAGCTGTTGTCTTGGAGGTTGAAGGTAGGAGAAATACCTTGCAAGGTATTTCTAGCCCCTAGCAGCACGCTCACAGACCTGACACGGAGGATGTCTCATTACAGAATTGTGAGAATGGCTCATTAGTGACAAATAACAACTATCTGTGAAGAAGTGAGGGTGCACAGTGCTTTGCATCCCCCCACATCAGCTGTGGTGGCAGCACTGTCCATCAGCTACCCCTGCAGAGTCCCAGGGCTTTCCTGGAAGGAAAGGGAGGACAGCACAGACAGACGTGAATAGAACATCCCTCAGCTCGGCCCAGGGTCCAGGCTGCCACCATCCCACCCTATGGGTGGGCACAGTAAAGGTGGGAGCAGCACCACGAAGAGAGCTGCCAGCCCCCAGGTGAGTGATGAACCAGCCCCTGGCTGCATCCCAGCAGCCCCTGTACCTGCAGCAGGCAACATGAGGGCTGCTGCCCAGCAATCCCAGCCAGAGAAGATGAACAGCACAGGGCTGAGCAGCCAGCAGCCTCTGTGCAAGTCTAACAGGGCTCTGCCCTCCCCCAGGAGCTGGCTAAGCCTTGGGATAAGGAATGGAAGCTTGGAAGCCTCTGTTTCTCACTCCTCCACAAGCCTGCAGCACTCAGAGACAGACTCAGAGCTCCCCCCAGGGAGAAAGAGGAGGCAGCGCAGAGGCAGGGACAGCAGGAACAGGTATTGGGCTGCCAGTACATCCCCTAAGCCCCGTGTTACCCCCCACCAGCAGCTGGGGGTCTTCACCAGAGACCCCATACCTCCCACCTAGGGCTGAGCACCACGAGAGCACAGGTAGAGGCACTTTGCTTCCAGGTTTTATTGTCCAGGGGGGTTGTGCCCCTCCACGGGGCAGAAGAACTCCCAGTCCCACCAGTGAGACTGGACTGGTAAGGAGGGTAAGCCCTTTAGTGGTGGTAGGAGCATGCCATGGGGGCAGAAGACAGTGCCTGGGATGGCGAAAGAGACAAGGAACACCACCTACACAAGGATGTCACAGGGTTAGGCCCCGAGTCCCCAAACAGGCAAAACCAGTCCCAAAAACCAGCCAAGCCATGACAAGGTTCAGGACAATCTGGGAGCTCAGAGGGGTCACAGCTGACATGAATTCCCAGGCCTTGGTTCTCACTACTCCCAGCTGACTCGTGGCCCTACTGAGCACACCAAATGATACAATCTTAAACCTCCACTGTTAGCACAGCACTGTCAACCCCACCACTAAACCTTGTCCCAAAATGCCATATTTACACATTTTTTTGAATACTTCCAGGGACAGTGATTCCACCACTTCCATGGGCAGCCTGTTCCAACGTCTGACCAACCCTTCGGTGAAGAAATATTTTCCAACATTCAGTCTAAACTTCCACTAGCACAACTTCAGGCTGCACCCTCTTGTCCTATCATAAGTTATCTGGGAGAAAAGACCAAGCCCCACTTGGCTATGACCCCCTTTCAGGTAGTGGTAGAAAGCAATAAGAAGCTCCCCCACACTCACATCCGAGGTCTGGATGCTGTGCTGCTCCCCATCACACCTCCTCGGTCCTCTTCTTGTAGTGTACCTCAGGGAGGCTCCTCAGGCGCTCGGCTGCCTGCAGGGCACAGCACAAGGGACAGCCAGGGGCTGGTCCTAGGGACAGGCCTGGCACACAGCCCCCTGGCTCCCCCAGTCCCCCTGAGCTGCAGTCACCTGCTCTGGGGTGAGGTCCCTCTGTGCCTGCGCCAGCATCTCGTATCCCACCATGAACTTGCGGACGGTGGCGGAGCGCAGCAGTGGGGGATAGTAGTGGGCATGGAGCTGCCAGTGCCTGCACTCCTCCTCCAGGTAGGGGCCTGTGGGGGCTCCTGCAGGGGGTAGAGGCACTGCATGAGCCGCAGCAGGGGGATGGCGATGTGGACGAGAGGATTGCGGAGCCACACCACTCACCGTGCCAGCCCATGGAGTAGGGGAAGGAGACTTCAAAGAGGTTGTCGTACTTGATGAGCAGCCTCTGCATGATGGAGGCCAGGCCTGCAGGAAAGTGACAGGGATTCACACCCTGAGCTGGCCAGCAGCTTGCCAGACCTGGGCTCCTGTGCCGTCCCTGGCAGGGAGACACTGAGCCCATGTGGTGGGGTCACCCACAGCAGGTCTCCCTGGGTGGACACCAGTGACGAGCAGGAGGGATGCACTTGGTAATTCCCACCCCTCCCCACACACACAGGGAGCCTGAGCAGTGCAGCAGGAGAAGTCCCCCACCAAAGCAGGGAGCACCATGTGCTTCACCATCCCAAAAGGACACGAGTCCCACCAGCAGTGCTGGCTGTGCCCAAACAACTAGTTCTTATCCTAAAAAAACAGTTGTCATTCTCCTCAGCTAAGCTTGGCAGCCCCCACTCCAAGGACAGAAGCCCTCCAGCACCAGCACAGCTGCCTCCTAACAAAGGCCAAGCCCAAAGGACATGGGATGGGGTACGATAAAGCTCAGAGCTACTCACTGTCCTTCTCACTGTCACTGAGGTCCTGGAGGCGACAGACGTGGCGGCGGGGCAGCAGCAGGGTCTGGTAGGGCCAGGTAGCCCAGTATGGCACCACAACCAGCCAGTCTGCATTCTCCACCACCAGCCGCTCCTGCAGGGCACAGAATCACAGAACCAGCTAGGTTGGAAAAGACTTCTGAGATCATACAGTCCAACCTATGACCTACCACCTTATCAACTAAACCACAGCCCTGAGTGCCACACTCAGTCTTTTTGACTCCACCACCTCCCTGGGCAGTCCATTCCAGTGCCCAATCACTCTTCCAGTGAAGATTTTTTTTCCTAATGTCTAACCTAAACTACCCCTGGCACAGCTTGAGACTGTGTTGTCTTGTCCTGCCACTGGCTGCCTGTCAGAAGAGACTGACCCCCTGCTGACTAAAATGTCCTTTCAGGGAGCTGTAGAGAGTGATAAGGTCTCCCCTAAGGCCTCCTTTTTTCCAGGTTAAACACCCCCAGCTCTTCTTCATAGAGCTTGTGTTCCAGATCCTTCACCAGCCTTGCTGCTTCTGTCCAGAGGAATCTGAGTATCTCAATGTCCTTCCTAAACCAACCCAGAACTGGAAACAGTATTTAAGGTGGAGCCTTCCCAGTGCCAAGTACAGGGGAAGAATGACTTCCCTCGTCCTGCTGGCCACACCATTCCTGATACAGGCCAAGATACCACTGGCCTTCTTGGCCACCTGGGCACACTGCTGGCTCATGTTCAGTTAGCTGTCAACCAGCACCCCCACATCCCTTTCTGCCTGGCCACTGTCCAGTGACTGTGTCTCCAGCCTGTAGCACTGCAGGGGGGTGTTACATGCAGCGCCTGATGGGGACATACACAGTCCCAACGCCCCAGGGCACTCCTAGTGCAGAGCTCCTGGGGGCTGGACAGTCCACCCCGGCACACAAACAGCTCCCAGGGAGAGGATACAGACAACGTCCATGCCGTCACCTTTCGGCGAGCCTCCTGCTCAGCGTACTCCAGCAGCATGGGCACGCCGTGCTGGCTCAGGTGCTGGCGCTGGGTCCGGTCCTCCAGGCGCGCCTCGTTCGGGAGGAAGCTGCTGGCCCACACCTGGGAGGAACATTGGGGCACAGGACTGAGGTGCCTGTACCCCTCACTTGCAGGGGTATTCCTAGTCACGCTTCCCATCTGAAGGTCCCTGCTGCCACCAGGTGGACGGTCTGGCATGTGGCAGCCACAAGGGACACTCCCCAGAGGGAAGGTGACGGGACAGGCACAGGGGTACCCTCATTGTTAAAAAGCTTTGGGACCAGGGCAGGGCGACTGCCATTCACACCTGCCTTCGGGGTTTGATGTAGGGTTACCAAAGGGACTTGTAGTTAAGCCAGGTCACAGGTGGGACAGCCTCACCTGGCAGTGGGGGTGCGGGTTGGAGCAGCCCATCATCGCTCCCTTGTTCTCAAAGATCTAGGAGAAGAGGAAGAGGTGCAGCGAGCAGGTCCCAGCCACAGGGCCCCCACTGCAGGCTGTTGTGGTGTCCCCAGCACAGCAGGGAAGCAACCCACATGGAAAGGTTCAGCAGGGCACGAAGGCTCAAAAGGGCACAAAGCAGGAGACCCACACACAACTAGGAAGCTCCCAACCCCAAGTACTGCTACAGTACCCAGTGCCACCCTCCCACCTTCACCCACATAAAAGCAGCTCCCACCAGCCCCACACCTGCACCCAGGGGTAGGAAGCACCCAGTTCAGTCGCCAGCTCTGTCCATGCATCGACGACAGCCCGGATCTCTGGCAGGGACATGAGAGGCAGCGTCAGGTCTGACCAGGGGTGGAAACACATCACCTTGCTGTAGAGGAAACATGCATAGCTGCGATTGCAGGTGTCTCCAGAGACCCTCTCAGCTTTGCTGGGTGCAGTGGGACAAGGGACAGGGCCAAAACCTCCAGAATGACCCCAAAACTGAGCAGGTGTGTACAGAATAGGCACTGCATGAGGGGAGCAGGCCTAGTCCAGCACCATTCCACAGGTTCTTGACAAACTGTGTCCCAAACCCGCTGGAGCCATGTAGGTACTTACCACACACCCCGGGCTGGGGCAGCTCGAAACAAGGGGTGATCACTGTCATCTGGGGAAGGACAGAGAGTGGGCAGGAAGAAGGTGCTGAGGCAGAACCTAAGACTCCCCAGGGCACCCTGCAGCAGCCCCAGGACCCAAGTGTCAGGGGGTGCCCAGCAGCCTGCTCCACTCCCCAAAGTTACCAGGTTCTGGAGCATCAGGCTGCAGTGCAGGGAAGTCATTTGGAAAGACGAAAGTACCCTCGTACTTTGGGTTCACCTGCCGGGTCGAGAGATGGTATGAAGGCAGGAGGGGGTGGCAGGGGCAGCCCGAATCCCTGTGTCCCTGGTGGTACCTCGCCGTTGGCCCGGGTGGCCCCGGGACAGAGGGGGTTCTTGGGGTCCCAGCGGGGCACATCCTCAGGGGGTGGCTTCTCAAGCTGACCCTGCCAAGGACGCTTCACCCGGTGGGCCGATACCAGCACCCAGTCGTCCCGCAGCGGGTTGTACCGAACGTGCTGGTGCTCTGCGGGCCCGGAGAGCAGCGGGGCGTCAGGCGCAGGCCGCGCCGCCAAGGGGGGCACGCAGCCCACCCGCCGCGCCCCCTCAAGGGGCAAGCAAGACGGTCTGCACGCCCTCCCTCAGCTTCACCCCTTCCGCCCTGTCCCAGTCCGGCAGCCCCGCTGCTCTGGGCAGGGAAGGTCCCCGCAACTCGCGCTTCCCGGGGTCGTGCTGAGCTCCGCCGGGGGTCTGAAGGGAAGGACGGAGGAAGGCAGCCCCATCCGTACCGCTGGCGCGGAAGCGGCCGCCCCCCTCCGCCAGCGATGGCTCCATGCCGCCCCACTCCCGGAAACCCGGCGGGATCGGCCCCTTCCAGCCTCCCGCCCCGCCCCGGCGCGCCGGCGCAGCCGCCCGGGCCCTGCGTGGCGTGGCCGCGGCGGGGGCGGTCCCGGCCCGGGTCCCGCTCCCGGTGCCGGGGGCGGCGGAGCGCGGGATGGGCGCGGCGTGGGGGCGGCGGGCGCTGCGGGTCGGGCTGGCGCTGGGCGCGCTGGCGCTGGTGCTGCAGGGGCTGCGCGGGTGGCTGGCGGCCAAGCGCTACGAGTTCACCTCCGCCGAGATCGCACAGCTCGCCCGGCACCACGCGGGTACGCGCCGCCCGTGGGGACGCGGCGGGGCGGCGGGGAGTGGGGCCGAGGAGGGATGGTGGTGGGGATGGGGATGGGCAAGGGGTTGGGGATGAAGAGAGGAGCATAGGACGGGACGGGGACCGGCGGCCTGGGCTGGAGGGGGGGGCCGTAGCGGGGACGAAGGAGCGAGGAGGGTCCGGTACAGGGAAGCTGGGATCGTGGGGGGATCATGGGGGCCGGGGTCAGGGAGGGGCAGGGAGCTGGGCCTGGGCAGCAGGAATGGGACAGGGAGGGGATCGGCACCGGGGAACAGCAACAGGGAAAGCGGGGGAAGCGGGGTGGACTCCGGAGCAAAGGAGGGATGGGGACCAGGGCAGCGGCATCATCCAACCTGGTTGGAGCTGAAGCCCCAGGTGGGTCAGGCCTGGGGCTTCAGAAGAGGGCTGTCCCCTTAGGGCACAGGGAGTTTCGTCGGGGGTGCATGTCACCAGCACAGGGGCACTGTCACCTTGCTTAGGTCTCCCATATTGCCCAGCACCTGGGATGGGCAGTAGGACTGGAGCACTTGGTTCTGCTTGTCCTCCATCACCATCCAGGGAGGTGGTGGAGCTGGGTCAACAGGAGCTGGAGGGCTGGAGAGAGGAGATATCTTCCCTAGGCAGATCTCTCCAAGGATGTGCTGAGACCCTGTGGCTGTGCAGGGGATTCGGGGGTGGGGGGTGTGGTCAGCTGAGCTTTTTCTGTGCTAGGGACTTAAAGTGCCCCTGGGTGCTGCAGGGCTGGACCATGAGCTGGCTTTCTCCAAGATCATTGTGGAGCTACGGAAGAAGCACCCAGGCCACATCCTGCCAGACGAGGACCTGCAGTGGGTGTTTGTGAATGCAGGCGGGTGGATGGGCTCCATGTGCCTGCTCCATGCCTCACTCACCGAGTACGTGCTGCTCTTTGGGACAGCTGTCGACACTGGGGGACACTCGGGTAAGCAGGGGGACTGGGCTGCTGGGCAGGGAAGTTCTCTCAGCTATTTCTACTCCACTCTTTCACTCCATGGTGTACCCAACACAGGGAGCCCACTGCTTCACTACTTGTATGGGGTGAATGATGCTGGCCAAACATTCCCTGCAAGGGGGACCAGCCCCCATGGTGTTCTGCAGCATCTGCAGGTCCCTGTGTGTGACATGCTGTGTGGCCAGGACTCTCCGCATCCAGCTGGCAGGCAGTGGCAGACTTCTCATCTCCCAATGCTTCAGGAGGGAGAAAATGCCAAACAAGTTGGAAATGACAGGGCTTAAGGACACCCAGCAGCCGTGGCTGGTGGTATATGGCTCTTTGCACAGACAGTGGGGGTACCAGAGCTGTTGGCACTTCTTGGTGTATTGAGACACTGGGGCTGCCATCCTGACCACGCTGCTCACGATTCAGACCTGGGCTCCTGTGCTGTCCCTGGCAGGCAGACACTGAGCCCATGTTGTCTGTCCTCCCACAGGTCGCTACTGGGCAGATATTTCTGACACTGTCATCTCGGGGACATTCCGGCAATGGAAGGAGGGGACCACCAGAAGTGAGATTTACTATCCAGGTAAATGCAGCAGTATGGTGACCTGTGGGCTACATCCATGTCTTTGGGGCACAGCCACTTGCTGTTTTAGAGGCCCTTTGAGCTGACGGAAGCCAAGAGCTCAAGATAGAGCAGTTTGGGTTCCCAGTGGCACATCCCAGCATCTCAGTGGATGGCAGTAAGAGAAGAGGGAGCAAGGCTGGGATGGGCTTGGAAGGCCTTGGTCCCGTGTCTCCCATTTGGGCGTGATGTGGGGCAGCCGCTGGGAGCCGTGCTGGTTGTGTGTTTTGGCAGGGGACACCATCGTGCACCAGGCAGGAGAGGCCACGTCAGTGCAGTGGAGTGCAGGCACCTGGATGGTGGAGTATGGCCGGGGCTTCATCCCCTCCACACTCGCCTTCGCCCTGGCTGACACCCTCTTCAGCACTCAGGACTTCGTCACCCTCTTCTACACCCTGCGTGTCTACGCAAAGGGCCTGCTCCTGGAAGCAAATGCCTTCTTCAGCACCTTTGGGTGCTGAGCCCGTCTCACCAGGGCACCCTGCTGAACCCAGTTGGCTCCTTTCCTCCCGGCAGTTTTCTCTTCCTCCCCAAGCCCAGGTTCTAGCAGAGGCAGCAGGAGATCCCCTGTGCCTTCCCCAAATTGTTCTGTCCTTTCCCCACAGGCCAACAGGGTGCCAGGACTGAGGGACCTCGGCAGTCACAGCAACACAGAACATCAGTTCTCTTTACTACCTGCCTGTCCCTCCTTTCTATCAGAGTCACGTCCTGCTTTTCCATCCCTCAGGGCTGGAGTGGCCTTGCAGTGTACAAACATCCCTGTGTGCCCTCAGCATGCAGCAGGAGAGAAGGTGGAGCTGGCTGTCCCCAGGCCCAAAAGATTTACTCAGCTCCTGAGACATCAAGGGAATTATGCTGCCCTTGGGGCAGGGTGCACCGGGTAGACCAGACCAGAGCACCCATTGCAGAGGTCGGCCGCTAAGTCCCCCATGTCTCTGGCAGCCTGCCGGGACTGCGGGCAGCACAAAGTGCTGTGTCCAGCTGGCAGCATCTCCCGTGGCTCCATCCCTGCTGATGTGGGTTGGCAGCACACATTGTCACCCTGGCACGGGGCAGGATCAGCGCTGAGATGCCCTGGCAGTGAGGGGATGCCCAGCTTCTGTGCTGGAGGGCCCCCTGCTCCCCTGTGTGTCATCTGCCCTCGGGGATGGCTGGGGCTGGAAGAGGGCCACTTCCCCAAAGTCCTCTCCCGGCAGTGCCCCCCAAGGGGGAAACCCACCGTCTGTCGCCTTAATGGAGACCCCGTTCTGCGTGGCCTCTTGGCTATGCACGTACCTAGTGTCCTCGAGTGCCCAAATGTCTGTACTAGCTCAGGATGGGATCTCATCCCTCAAAATGCTTCCCCCAGCTGTGAGAACCCTTGGGGACAGCCACTCTGCTCGGCTCCCGGCATGGGATCCCGGCTGCCAGGAGAGTGCTGTAATCCTCCAACCAAACCCAGCTGTGCACCCTGCTTGCACCCCTGTGGTTAGACCCGTGTGAGCTCACTGCTTGGTGGAGGGCTTTCACCTCCATCCTGCTGCCAGACACAAGAGTGTGTCCCTGGCCACCCTGGCCTGTAGCATGTTGATCCTCCTGCTCCCCAGACTGTCCCTGTTCTGCTGACCAGCAGCCCTGCACACGGGCTAGTTCTCAATTTGCTACCTGAAAAGAGATACCAGTAATAAAGTTGTTCATCCCACATACTTGGGTCTCTGAAAGAGTCTCTGGAGCGTGCTGAGCCCTGCCATGGTGAAGGCCAGCTCCAGCCTCAGCAGCAGTCCTGCTGACATCTGGGTATCCCCAGGGAAGCTGGTATCATCCCACTCAAAGTCCTGGCAGCTGGGGTACTGAGCTGGACAGGATCGGCTCTGTCTGAGCTGCCGGGGATTGGCAGAAGATGGTGCTGTTACTCCTCTCGCCACTGCCGTCACTGATGACCAAAGCCTGGGCTGGTGCCAGGTCCCTGCTTCCACGGGCAATCTTGGAGCTCAGGGGGCTCCATCCTTTTGAGGGACAGTGGCAGTGCTGAGTCTGTGGCCCCCCAAGGATGGTTGGACCGACACATAGCAGGTGGTTTTGAGAGGTTTGCACACACATGCAGGTGCACACACATGCTGTCAGACACATCACATCTGTGTGTGTGTGTTCACAGGTCGTGTGTGCGTTTAGATAGAATAGTTTTCAGGTGGGTGTGGGTATGACAGCTGGGGCTGGCACACATTTGTAAATGGGTAGAACAATCAGGTATCTGTGCATACAGAGCAACTGCAGGTGTGTGAATGCTGGGGCACATGTGCGCAGGACATGTGCATGGGTATAATCAGAAGAGTTTTGTTCCTCTGTGTGTGTGTGTGCCCATGCAGATGACACAAGTGTGTCACACCTGTGCGTGTGCACAGCCCGCAGTACACATGGCAGCAGGTGTGCACCGCTGCGTGCTCACGGGCAGGCAGGCTGTGTTTGTGTGTGTGTGTGTGTGTGTGCGCGCATACGTGTGTTCCTGTGGGCTACCAGGCCTTCCTGGCCCCACACCAGGCCTGTTCCCTGGGGTTTGGCAGAGCCCTGTTGGGGAACATGAGCAATCCCACCTGAGCTGGCCTGCATGGCAAGGCGCTAACTCAGCAGCTCGTATCAATACCGCTCCACTTACAGCGAAGGCCGCGTAATGAAAATCCGATGGGCACGCTGGTGGGAGTAAATAAGTATGCCATTAAAATAAGAAAATCAAAGCTCTGGACAGGTCTTTTCTCTTGCCCATTGATTTCTTTTATTACGGAAATATTGCTGCTAAATAACATTAGTGTGAACAATCTCAGCAGTGTTTTCTGTAGCACCCATGTCAATAACTCCATCCTGGGCGGGGGATCCCCCCCAGCCTGGCTGCAGGGCCAGAAAAAGGTGCCCTGTCCATGCAAAAGGCTGCTCTGGGGGTTCCTTCGTCAGCATTCCCAGCTCAGCTGGCATGAAGAAAGAAACCACGACACGCAGAGAAACCATGCAGTATGAGGTGGCTCAGGCAAATGCCAGCAGAGTGGAGCTGGGCTTAGACCCAGGGGCCCTGGCAACTCTGCTGCACCAGGAGGGGTTGTCCCCATCCCAGCAGGAGCACTGAGTGCCAGGCATTCATTAAAGGGTCACAAAAAG